GTTTTATGCTGTAATTAGTTCTACCATATGATTGAATACTAAAATTCAGTAATTCTACTACCAACTCTAGAAAGAAAGGATTTCAAATATGAAATTGGTAAGATACATAAAAGGGAAAAGACACTTTGGTAATTCAATACTATTGATAAATTAAATAATAATGACAAGCAACTAGTGATATGCCGCATACAGTACTATATATACAGTACAGTATCTAAAATTTTTGCTGATCACTTGTTCCAGCCAATCAGATGCCAGAAAAAGAACTATACATACAGTACGTACTGTACATACTGTATGCTAAAATTTTTCAGGTATCATATAAATGGCACATCACTACAAGAGCATAGTTAAAAATCCATTTGATTGGCTGATGATCATTTGTTTTTTTAATTAATTTTATTGGCCGATGATCAATTATTTTTTGATTGGCTAATAATTAGTTTCTGATTTCACCAGAAATCGAACCGGAAATAATAGTTTTTTATTTCCGGTTCGAGGTTTTTCCTTGCCAGAAATCGAACCGAATTAGTTTATTACCGGTATTTCTGGTTCAAGATTTTTTTCTTGCCAGCAATCGAACTGAAATAGTTTGGTTCAAGGTTTTTCCTTGCCAGCAATCGATTCTTTTTCTTGCTAGCACTCATTTATTTGTGTTTAAAGATAATAAAAGTAATTTAATATAATTAGAACTAGCGATTTCAGACAACTGTCAAACCTCAAGTAAAACAAAAAAAAAAACCAGTTAAATTCAAATTAGCTTTAGCAATTTTTTTTAGCTTTAGCCAATTTTTTAACCATCCAGGATTATTAAAAATTATTCATAATATAAAATCGCGAAAAGATTTATTATTAAAAATAAATATCGATCACTTGCATTTTGTATTACAAATTTCATGCAATGTAAAGTATAAAAAACATTAAATATGTATTAAAACACGTCAATTGTATCTAAAATAATAAAGTTTTCTAACAAATGCTGAGAATAAAGATTAATAACGGACCCTGCTCAGTTTACAACTGTAATAAAGATTCAAATGTTTTTCGAAGCTTAACTAAATTGGCTATGAAAAAAGCAACTACCTATAAAACTATTCAACAGTATTCTTATCTAAGAATAGGTCAACAAATTTGTTATTCTCACTATATGTCCATTGTTGAAAATTTTCAAGAATGGACTTATAGGCGTGAAGACATACCTATCCCGCGTTTATCAATTAATAAATTGTCACTTGAAGATTGGATTAAAAAAATGACAACCGTTCTATATAAAAAAAGAAATAATGGCCTTATACTTGACCCAAAAGAGTTTGATAAAATGCTTGTTGCTGCGGACTTGATTTAAAAGGGTTTTTAACTGAAATGTACAATATCCTAATTCCTAATAATCGCTTAGCTTATAATCGAAATGAAGATAAAAAACAAGTTGTCGCAATTTTATATTTAATGGCTAGGTTGTGAAACAAACATACTAACAATTTCAAATTAGAACTCGCGCTATATCAGGAACAACATGTGATGCAATAAATGCACTAAGCAATGCGGGAGTTTTAGTTACTTATCAAACTGTGTATAATTATAAAAAAAAAATAGCTAGCGAATATCCAATAAGGATAACAAAATATTTTAATAATAATAAAAATAATCTCTGCATATATAATATAGACGACTACTATAATATCCATAGTAAACAACGTCCAGATAGCACTTCTTTATCAAGTGCTATCCATTTTGCAACAAGTGTATGTAAGAAAGTTGATGGATCCTCTCCTGTACCGATTATATTTAATGGTATATCCGTCCACAACCCAAATAACATCGAAGCTCCTCTTATCTGTGAAAAATTAATTAATAAATATCAAAAATATTTTGACATATCATATTCACAACGAAAAAATCAATGGATAAGTTCTAACTTACTTGAATTGACCAGCTTACAATACACTCATACAATAATGCCATTGTAGAACGAAGAGAGGAACGTAAAATGAATAATGCAATTTTAATAGGAATACAAGAGCAAAAACTTTACTCGTTACCTGATTACCTTAATGCACTAAACATGATTTTAGATTATAATAAACAAATCAATCACCTTACTGGAAATGTAGCACCAATTGTCGCAGATTGGCCAGGCCAACTTTATATCTGTAAAGCCTTAACATACTTAAATAATAGAAATAAAAATTTATTAAAAGTGCAGCCAGAAGTAATATCGTTCATTCCTCTCCTCGGAACTCTACATGTTTCTCTTAATACAAGAGAGCATATTATAAAAATCTATTATTCATTTTTTGAAAAACTATTTCATAGCATATTCAAAGAACATAAGGTTTTGGCAAAAAAACCTAGACCCTGGAAAATAAATCTTCTATTAGAATTATTATACTCGGCCTGGATTAAAATCAAAGAACATATAACTAAAAAATTTACTTATCTACAAAAAAATATTGAATATCAAATTATTATGGAACTTTTAGATAACCTTATACTAGCGGCACTCGATATATATGCCTTGCTATTTCAGTCTGGATCATTTAATGACTATGTAGAAACTATATTTCATATTTGAACCTTCGCTCTCCGATGAAAATGTAAGAATTATAATAAAGCTCCACTTGCGTTTCTATCAGATATATTTTATTGGGAAAAAAATAATCACCCAATGAGAGAAAAAATTTAATGATTACTGGATAGAAAATATGCATAGCAGGATACGGGCCACAACATCTCCAAAAGATAGTGCCAACAATATACAGCTACAAGCATATATTTTGGATTATCAAAAATATTCAGCTTTTCGCGAAATGTTTTCAACAACAAAGAGATACCCATATTCGCCACAAGAATTGAAATTTTTGACTAATAAGACTTGCCTCTTTCTTCTTTCTCAGTTTCAAAAAATTTATAAAAATAATAATGAGGCAAACTTGATTAGTAATAAAATTTCATCACCAAAATGGCAAAAAAAAAAAATAGATACGGATATTACTTATGACCTTCCCACCTTAGGAAATATAGGTGTTACAAGTATGCCAGCCGGATTCAGTACACCATTTCCTCCTTCGTTTAATAATTGTGATTCTTGCCGTAAATCACTAATTATTAATAATAGTGAAGTTGTCTTAATATGTGGACACGGATACCACATAGAATGCTACAAACAAATGAATGAAAAGTGTAAATATTGCTTAAATTTTTACAAGGATGGTATATGATATAATGTCAATGCATTTTTAAAAACTTTAAATTCGGAGAAACATGAGGAAGATTTAAATGAAGATGATGACCAAGATGATGACGATGATGATCAAGATGATACGGATAATTCAGAAGACAGGAGTAGTAATCGACTAAACATGGAAGAGGATATGGAATTA